ACTGAAACCTGTTAACCATAGTTGACTCTAAAGTTTTTAAAATAATGGTGGCATATCTTTCAATATAACAGAAATATGCACACTACCACGATATGACAAACTGACAGACAAGTAGTGGTTTTATATCTAATTATTTAAATTAGGAGGCTTGGCGTGGCACTGTAAAATAAGCACTGAATTGCTAACCTCAAGGTAGGAGATTCAAACCCATCAGGTACTCTTTGGAAATCCTATGCAAGGTTGGTATATGTCCAAACCGACATGACTTAACAAAAACAACACTTAAAATTAACAATAATCAAGTATACTTTCTAATGTTATCTGGTATAGTTGGTTCTGTGTTTGGTTGCTCCATAATATGCGTGGTCGAATCCCACCAGTCACTCCACAGGACAATGATGAGACTGTCTGCTCCCATACTGGTGTACTGTACAGTCTTACAAATCCTCTGGGGCAGTTCTATCCTGTACTCTAGCTTCACAATGAGTCAGAATTGACTTGATGGCGTTGGGTTTAGTTTGGTATTAATTATCTCTTAATATTTTTAATGGAAAATCAGGAAAAAGTAATGGAACAAGTGGAAGCAAAATAGTTTCTTATTGGGATTCTTGGAAATGTTCCCATTTTCTTTTCTTTCTTTTAAAATGTTTTATTTTAGTATGACAGTGTGAGAGGGCAGAGATGAGAGTTTCTCTTTACTCTCCATTTCCTGTGCATAAAAGTCAATTCCCATTATCAGAAGTTTTCATAATGCCCTTTTTATTAGAATGACAAATGAATATGAGGTATGTTTTTATTAGTAGAGGGAAGACTGGTGTGGCCCTGTAGGATAAGCACTGGTCTGCAAGGTCTGTTTGAACTGCAAATGATGACAGTTCAAACCAGTCATTCCTTGTAAACCATGTACAAGGTCACTGTGAGTCAGAACTGACCCCACAGCACTTAACAGCAATAATATTCATAGTTTAGGCATCACCTATATGATGGGTCTTTTGAACTCATCTAAGTTTATTCACTGTTGTGGGGATATATTAAGATGAAAAAAGACAAAGTCCTTACCCTTTGGAAGTTTGCAATTATGCGCCAGACTGCAAAGCCCTTTGAACTGCAAGGTTGGAAGTTCAAGCTCACGGGCTGCTCCTTGGAAACCCTATACAGGGTCGTTATGGGTTGGAATCAACTCGATGGCACTCAACAACAGAACAACAACATATATAAACCGAAGACAATATGAAATAAAGGATCAGAAGGAATAAAATAAAATAAATATTGAGATACAAAAATTTTTATCTAAACTAGGCACTTTTGAGGATGAAAAAGAATATTTTTAATAATTACTTTTAAAACCAGGCCACCAGAACTATTCAAGACAGAACAGGACAAGTTTCCTGAAGTTCTATAAAAGAAACTGTTACTTCATCTGCTTGTGAGTATAAAGGACATTTTTGATAAGAAGGAGACCCTTTGATAGGTTTGATGTCAGTCTAAATTCCTTTGGATGCAATTTAGGGAAATCACAACTTCAAACATCTTGTACAGTAAAGTTATTTATGAACTCATACAACAAGAAATCTTACGGGATTGGTGTCTCAGGGTTCTTAAAATTCATCTGGTAGTGGTGGTGGTTATATGCCGTGGAGTCAGTTCCAACCCATAGCGACCCTGTACAGGGTTTTCAAGGCTGTAGATATTTACGGGAGCAGAAAGCATCATCTTTCTCCCATAGAACCGCTGCGTAGTTTCGAACTGCTTACCTTGAAGTTAACAGCCCAACTTGTAACCATTATACTACCACAGCGCCTTAAAATTCATCTAGTAAACCGCATTTTTCCTGTCTACCTTACCTTCTTTTTCTCAGCTATTGCAAGGGTGCTGGAAATGCCAGACATCACATTCAATTCACACTGAAAATACAGTATTCAAGAAGCAGGAATATAGCTCGTGTCCCTTTTTACTTCCTATTTAAAGGGTGAGGAACTTTCTCAGAAGTCCCACATTAGATTAACTTTAATTTTCCAGAACTGAGTCATCTGCTTAGTTCTATATCACAAGAACTCCTAGTGTGGCACTGTAGGATCAGCAATAGACTATAAGTCACAAGGTCAGAAGTTCAAATCCACCAGTTGCTCCTCAGAAACTCTATATAGGGTCACTATGAGTTAGAACTGATTCAACAACACTTATCAACAACAACATATCACAAGTGGTAAAGGGAAATGAAATGACCATATTAGCCTGATATCAAACTTTTTCTGGTCCCAACATTCCTGAGCAGGTTGCTGCTTGGTATTATTATCAAGAAAGTAGAGAGGAGGACTTGTTGTATAGGCAATTCTATCACTCTATATCCTCACAATAAATAGATTATAAATTCTTTTATTCTTCTTTTATTTAGATTGGTAATTGCTATTGACCTATCTTAAGTTTCACTGATTGTTTCTCATGCCATCTGGAGTTTATTGTTAAACTCTTAAGTGATTTAAAATTATTAAACATTGTATTTTTCATTCCAAGACATTTTATTTTAGTCTATTTCATAGTTTAAGTCTCTCTGTTGAGTATTTTTATTTGTTAATTTATTATGAACAACATATTTGAACTTCATAGGCATAGTTATACTATCTACTTGAAAATGCTTGTCTATTCGTTTTATCTTCTTGCTTATCTCAGGCTTAACTTCACTGATTGCCTTTTTGCTTGAGCGGGTCTAATAATTTTGTATTATAGTTTGAACATGACAGAAACTCTAGATTTTGTTATTTTTCTCTGAAGTTTTGTTATTCTGGTTACATTTTTCTATCTAAGAAAGTATCTGATAACTTAGTCTATTAAAAAGTTTATTATTCTATTGACCTTGCTTTTCTACTGGGTTTGGTGGGTATGGTTTGTTTTCTGTCTACTTGATGTAAGCTTGAAGTTTAGGAGTTGGAATTATTTAAAGCTAATTCACTTATGGAGTCTTGGTGTGGCGCTGTGGGCTAATGCATCAGACTGCAAAGTCAGTGGTTCAAGCTCACCAGCTGCTCCTTGGAAACCCTATACAGGGTTTGCTATGGGTTGGAATCGACTCAACGGTACTTAACAACAAACAACATTCACTTATAGCTCACCAGCTGCTCCTTGGAAACCCTATACAGGGTTTGCTATGGGTTGGAATCGACTCAACGGTACTTAACAACAAACAACATTCACTTATAGCTCTGATGGTGGAATGTTTGCTGTTCACTGAGGCCTTAGGGATTTAGCTGGAGCATTTGTAAATGACTTCCCTATAATATGATGGGTGAGAGGAGAGAGAGAGAAAGTGAGCAAACTCTCCATGTAGAAGCTATATTGCTTTTTATGACTAGCTTTGGAAGTCTAACATGGTTCATTCCACCATATTGCTGTTGGCATTATTGCTCATTGCCATTGAATTGATTTTGACTCAAATGGTGCTCAATAACTAGCCCCAAGCTGGATGGTTCAAACCCACCAAAGATTGAATGATGATCAACCTTGAAAACCCAATAGAGCAAAGTTCTACTCTGGACACTTGGAGTCACCATGATCATATTCACAGAGGCAGCCAAAAAGGCTCACTCTACTGTAAGAAATTGAGGAAATAGAATGTGTTTCTTGATGGGGAAATGGCAAGGTTCTAGATTGAAAATTTTACTGATAATTTAATACCAACTTCTAATGATCTGAAGTGGTACTACATTACTATACCATTATGCAACCAAATTACTTCTATAAGACGATGTGCCAAATGAAGTTACATAGGGTGTGGGGTGGTGGTTGTGTATTGCCAAGTTAGTTCCGACTCATAGTGACCCAGTACAGGGTTTCTGAGGCTGTAAGTCTTTGTGGGGAGTCCTGGTGTGGCACTGTAGGATAAGCACTGGGCTGCTAACTACAAAGTTGGTGGTTCAGACACCCCAGCTGCTTCTTGGAAACTCTACAAGGAGTTGCTATGAGTAGAAATTGACTAGACAGTGCTTAACAATAACTAAAAACGTTTTACGGGATCAGAAAACCCTCATCTTTATCCTGTGGAGCAGTTGGTATATTCAAACAGCTGCCGTGAGGTTGTAGCCCAGTGCCCCACCAGGGATTTTAACAGACAGTATGGCACAATGAGGAGTCCTGGTGTGGCACTGTGGGTTAATGTGCTAGACTGCAAAGTCCGCTTGTACCGGGAGACCTACAATTCAAGTTCACCAGCTGCTCCTTGGAAACCCTATACAGGGTCACCATGGGTCAGAACCCGACAACTCTACGGCACTTAACAACAACAACAATGGCACTATGAATTGGGAAACTTATTGGTTGGACTTTAATAAAAAATTTACTCATTCCAGTAGTGGAATTAAAATATTACCCTTATTATCATCAAGAGCATAACACAAAACATTGATTATGATTTTTGTTGTTGTTGTTAAGTGCCATCAAGTGAATTCTGACACATAGCCACCCAGTATACGGTTTCTTAGGAGTGGCTGGTGAGTTTGAACCACAGACCTTGTGGCTCAAACTGACCTTGAGGTCCTGTGCTTACTCTACAGTGCCACACCAGGATTCCATTGATTATGATGACTATAACTAAAGGATAGCAAGCACTCAGATCTGCTTCAGTCAGAAATTCATCCTGATAACACCAAAACAAAAAATACTTCCATCATGTTTGGCAGTGCAGAATTAGGCATTTGTAGCACATTCTGAAGGAGAAATTCTTCACAGAAATTAGCCAATAGAGCCTATGTTTAAATACTTTGGTACATACTGAAATACTAAGACAAAATGACTTTATCCTGATTAATCAGATCCCTGTGAAACGTAGAGAAGAATTTCAGCATAGACAGTGTGGAACACGAAGCTCATGTAAATAAAATAATCAATGTAACCTGGAGTGAAAGATAGGAGAGTATACATTATACCTTTCTACCCATAGCTTACAGTTTCTACCATTCAGTTAGTCAAAGGGAGGCAGAAAATAATATATATTAATACTCTAGGTTGAAATTTATGATGCTGTCATACATAATGCATTTTCCACATCCAATTCCTATTTATTAAGGATTATTTTCCTGACATTTGTTTAGGCACAGGGAATACACAGCAATGGACATTCTAGTGGGGAAAATCATCTATAAACTCCTAAAGCTTAAGTACAAATGCAATTTATAGGGGTGATAAATATTATGAACAACTACCCAAAGCATGTTAAGTCTTCTCTAAAAACCTTTGTGTGAAATGAGTGCAAACTCTGGAGATATCTAGGGGAAATGCGTCTAAGACAGAGGCAAGAGCAGATGTGAAAGCTTTGTCATTTTTAGAAACAGCTGGAAGACATTGAAACTAGAGCCACGTGAGCACAGGCAGGAGGTGAGAGATGAAGTGTAGAAGCAAGTGGTGATCAGACCTGTAGACCAGGGGATGCAGTTTGGATATTGTTCTGAGTATGATGGAAAACATTTGGAGGATTTTAAGAAAAAGTGTGCTATGGTATTTTTTATGTTCAAAACAATATTCTGGCTGCTGGGTAAACAATGGTTTACAGGACAACAAAAGTGGAAGCAGAGATGATTCATTAGAAAACCATTGCAGTGGTCTCTGATGGTTTACATTATATTTGATGATGGTAACTTGAAGTAGGGTAATTGTAACGGACCTAGTGAGAATCAGATTAAATTTGAAGATGTAGCAGACAGAATTTACTTGTGTATTGGATGTGAACATACGATGCTGACATTTCCTGAGATAGAGGCAACTTTAGGAGAACCAGTTTGGGGATAGGGCAAACAAAATTTCTGTTCTGGATGTGTTATATTTCAAATGCTTATTAAACTGCAAGTGAGGGCTAAAGATAAACATACATGAGTTACTATTTTAAAGGTCAATAGGTTAAAACATTGGAGACTTGGTGTGATGCTGTAGAATAAGCACTGGGCCACAAGGTTGATTTGAACTGCAAGGTCAGTGGTTCAAACTCACTAGCCGCTCTTCGGAAACCCTGTACAGGGTCACTGTGAGTCAGAACTGACTCAAAGGCACTTAACAACAGAGTTAAAACATTATTTTTGTACTTGTCAAATATTGAGCTCAGTGTAGTTCAGGAGTTAGATCTAGGTACAGTTGGATTATGGCTGGATAGCCACCCCCCTAGTCATAGTTTTGGTGTTCACAGTAGAAAAAAACCTGATATGCTCTAACTTTATAGTAATACTGTCTCAATTAGTTGAGTGTATTAATATGTACAACAGTTATACTGACCATATTCTACCAAAAGACAACAGCTATTAAAAATGCAATAAACATGATATAAAAGGGCAAGATTCCATGATGCAAAATATCAATCTATCGATTGGAACACAGAGAGGTATGGTGGAAAACCCAGAACATCAGTGTGGAGCCAAAAAAGGCGAACACAAATTAGAAACATGTAAATGCTTCTCAGAAATACCTGGAGAAATGACTGGCGTGCTTGCAGCTATGCAGAGTTGTTGTTGTTATGTGCTGTCTAGTTGATTCTGACTCATAATGACCTGTATAAGGTTTCCAAGGTGCAGCTGGGGAGTGTTAGCTGCTGATCTTGTGGTCTGAAGTTTAGTGTTAATCCTACAGCATCACACCAATTTCATTATTGAAGGGAAAGAGAATTCCTGAAGGGTGGGGAGTTTGGGACCATTAAGATAACATACCTGATAATTTTTGTTTTGCCACAAAAATATAAGTGAAGGAAAAGAGATGAGACAAGGGAATAAATTAGTCAACATTTTAATGCTTATAAGTGGCAACATATATTCAAAGTAGTTTTTTATAAAATGCTAATTTAAGTCATGAAAATAAAAGATACAATGTTGACTTTGTTGTTAAATGCCATCAAGTTAGTTCCAACCCATAGCAACCCTATATAGGGTTTCCAAGGAGCCCCTCGTGAGCTTGAACCACTGACCTTGTAGTTCAAATGGCTTTGCAGTCTGGTGCATTTACCCAGAGCCACACCAGGACTTTGGCTTTAGTCAAAGCTAAATTCAGGAGTTTAAATGTGACATCATCGTACATACTCTAGCTCAACTCTGCTTTCTTTCTCAGTGATGCTCTCTCAATATCTTGGTAAAAGGGTCATTAGAAGCTACAGGTGTAGATTTACTAGATTAGAAATGCTTGCAGAAAACATGCCTTTTTTCTAACACTGAGGTAGTACTCTGATAAGCTGGCTCCGGGCACTTGCTGCACTGTATAAATCATTTTGATTAGGTGGAGGGAAGTCCTGTTTTCATTGTTAAGGACTTTATTCAATGTTTACTTCTGTCCCTAGAGGGTTGGTTCAGTTTCAGCCAGCACAACATGGACTGGAAATGGTGGAATGTTTGTTCATCAAAAGAAAAAGATGTATTATTTTACAAGAATGTAAGCTGCACAACAAAAATAATATTCATTTAAAAGATACTGAGAAAAAAGACAAGGAAGAGAAAAGGAAGGAGGAGATAGGGCATATGAACAGGAATGAGGAGGGATGAGAAGAAAAGTAGAGAAGAAGAAGAAAAGGGAGAGAAGAGAGAAAAAGAGAGAGAAGGACAGAAAAAGAAAGAGAGAGAGAAGAGAGACCAAGACAGAGAGTGATGTTAGCTGTTTTGGTGAGCAGCAATATGACCTCCATGGAACTACTTGGCAGGCTTGTTTACAAGTGGAAACCCAGAAGATCAGGCATCATTAAGAAATAGTTTATGTTGAAGGAAATGGAATTCCTTATTTGCCTTTCCAAACACAGGCTTCCTTGAGACCAGGTTTTATGACTTCTATGAATGGAGAAGAACTGAACACCTGATGACTGAGGACATGAGGGACATGCCTCAAGGTCTTTCACATTTTCCATAGATGTAAGTGTCTGCTCAGGACTTTCTTCACAGCTCCTTTTACCTCCTTATTCCTCAGGCTATAGATGATTGGGTTCAACATTGGGGTCACCACTCCATAAGACAGCACAATGATTTCATCAGATGTCTTTGTGTCTTTGGACTTGGGTTTCATGTACATAAAGAGTGCTGAACCATAGAATAAGATGACCACAGTCAAGTGAGCCGAACAGGTAGAAAAGGCTTTCTTTCTTCCCTCAGCAGATTTAATTCTCAGTATGGAAGAGAGAATAAAAACATAAGAGATAAAAATTAACAGCAGTGGAAGCATCAACAAAACAACACTTGCTACTGTCATGATAAGCACATTGATGGTGATGTCTGAGCAGACAAGTTTCAGAAGAGCCAGGATCTCACAGGTAAGATGGTCAATGACATTATTCCCACAGAAAGGCAACACCATTGTTAGGACTGTTTGCACTAGGGAGTTTGCACAGCCTATGATCCAGGACCATGCAGCCATGTGTGCACATAATATCTTGTTCATGATGATCATGTATCTCAGTGGGTTGCATATGGCCACGTACCTGTCATAGGCCATCATAGCAAGGAGGACACATTCAGTGGAGCCCAAACTAAGTGAGAAAACCATCTGCAGTGCACAGCCAAGGAAAGAAATGGATTTTCTCTGAGATCTAAATGAGATGAGCATTGAAGGAATGGACGATGAGGTGTAACAGATGTCCAGGAATGAGAGGTTCCCAAGGAAGAAGTACATGGGGGTGTGGAGTCGGGAATCTAGGATGCTGATGATAATGAGGAAGCTGTTTCCCAGGAGGATTATCAGGTACATGATGAGACAGAGCACGAACAGAGAAAACTGGAGCTCTGGATATTGAGAAAGCCCCACCAGAAAGAATTCAGTCACAGTAGAGTAATTCCCCATCGCCTTGTGACCAGGTCACCTGTAGTGTTTAGAAGTGGACATGAATTAAGGAAACTGGAAGTCATAATGTAGATGTGCAAGACAATTTTGCTTCTATTATTAGGTTTAATTTTTAATACATCCCTAGAATCAGGAAGAGTATTATATTAATTTTAATAAGAGTGAATTAGAGGAAACAACACATTAAAACTGCTTAGATTCATATTGCATCAGAAGCTGTGAATTTGGCTGGGAACTGCCAAGCCTCTAATTAAATATAACTTAGGGACAAACTACTTCTAAGTATAGTTTTATAAGATTCTCTTTATTAATAAGCATTTTGAAATTAAAACTACCTTTTAATATAGATGACTCTAATTAAAAATATCCTGTAGATTCTATACCATGCCGTTTATCCTATGTATGAATTTTTTAGGTTGTGTACCTTTTCTGAGTCTCAGTTAACTAATTGTAAAACAGGAGGAAAGCAATAACTATTTGATAGTTTGTTGTAAGAAATAAATCTTTTAGGTGCCTGGCATGCTAGGTGGTTACACCATGGCTTCCAAAATTGTATTATGTGCCATATTACATAATATAATAAAATGTATGATGATATTAAGTATATATTTTAATAACATAATACTATTAAATATATAATTTTTATATTTACCTAACTGACACAGAAAAAAATTTTTCGTTTATTTTGTTAAGTGAAAGAGTATTGGATTTGGGAAAATAACTGACATACTGTGAACATTTTCTGTTCCCAACTGGACATCTAATCAACTAAGTGTTTGAGAGTTCTGTAGTAAGCAAATTACATTATTGTAAGCACATAACATATTAATTCATTCAATTTCAAATCATCTCTGAAAGAGTACCATTTTTGCCTTCATTTTAGAGGATGAAACAGACCCAGAGAAAAGTCAATGTACATTATCCAAGGTCACACTGATTTGCTAATATCCAGCTATCTGATTCCAGACTCAGACAACTAATTCAAATTGAGCCCTCTTAACCATTATTCCATTCTATCTCTCATAGATTTCTACACTTTTTCTTTCTTTCCCTTACATGAAGCTAGGAAGTCTCTCATGTATGACAAGCCAACATGTAAAAACCCCTCATCCTGTCTGCAAACTCCCTTAATAACAAAAGTTCAAGGAAAATGTGTGGTTCAGGAGTGAGAATAAGATCAGCAAGAAACATTCTTATTCTGTAATCTCAATTCAGTGAATATGAACAACCACAGTGGTAGTATAAAAAGTAAAAGACACAGTTCTTTATATAATGAGTGTATAAATATGTTTTGGTCTTTAATAGAATAAATATGAAACAATTGGAGCAGTTGCATTTTTAGTGATATAGCGCTAACTTTATAAGTAGGTAAAGCTTAGCAACTGATAATGTGACATACACTGGAAAAGGCAGAAACAAAGAATGAAGAACTATTACCCTAACTGCAAAACACTATGGATATCCTTCCTACTTATGAATACAAGATTGCAAAGTATATTCACACTACATATGAAAGTGGTATAATTTATTTAATAAATTCATGGAATTCCAAATTAATACTTAAAAATCTACCCAAGTAATATATGAAACAAATAAGTAACAAAAATAACCTACACTGTCATCTAATTATGTGCCCCAAAGCATTTGATAGAATACAACATCCATTCTTATAAAAAACTCTTTAAATCCATAGGAGAACACATCAATAAAGTGATAATATATCTTTGTCTAAATATTCGTCAGCATAATCACAAATGATTAGACAATATAGGTCCCTCCCAAATATGCATATGTAGATTTATTATTTAATGTTCCTCCTCATTTTGAATTATAGAGTAGAAAAAATATATAAAAGAAGTTGTGTGTATTACCATGTTTCAAGTCCTACCATACTTTAACATTTGCTATAATTTTTCTCTCTAGGATGCTGGAATTCTGGCACGTGGTATAGCTTATGAAAGAACATATAATTACATAGAATATCACCAGTACAAATTGGAGAAGAGTCAAAACTCATGATAAAATATTAAGCAAATATAAGGAACTTTATAATGTCAGAGGTGATTACAATTTTGCATCTGTAAGGTTGGAAGGGCATGAAAATATTTACTATGCATTTCTATGAAATGTAAATCTTGGGGCATTGAAAAATTTCCATATCTTCTCTATATTTTCCAAATTGTTCTTAATTAGCCTACATATTGTTGTTGTTAAGTGCCGTCAAGTTGGTTCTGATTCATAGCCACCTTTTATAGGGTTTCCGAGAATCAACTGGTGAATTTGAAGCACTGACCTTGTGGTTCAAATTGACCTTGTGGTCCAGGGCTGGTGGCACCAGAAAGCCACCATGTCTATATCACTGTATAAAAATAAAATAATATTAAAAATTTTTTTATTAGAAGGGAATGGTGGTAAGGAGTTCCAGAAGTTTGATCATGGTTTTCTCTTAAACCCAAGTAGAAATTAAAGCACTCAATGGACAGGAAGTTGGAGAGGCAGTTTCTCTTGTTTCATATTGCATAGACTAGTTTAAGGCTATAGATATTCTGATTTCAACCAATAAATCTCACACATCCATTCACTATCAAAAGACATAATGACCTACTCTTAATTCTTGCAGAAGGATTCTTGAACCCACCAATTAGATATGGCCAAGGGTAGCAGCACAAATGAAACTCACAATGAGGCATTTGATAGTACACAGTAAAAAAAAAAGACAGAGAAGATGCCTGGTGGGTAGGAGGGACCTTGGGTTAACAGTGAGGGCTTCTGTTACCTATGCACTTTCTTTCTACCTTAAAGAGGTAAAAGTTCTTTTCTTGGTCCTCCAAATTTTGTCTTTCTCCAGTGGCTCTGCTTGTATATCGATTTTCACCGTTGGATATCACCTATAGAAGGAGAGTAAAGTATGCTTCAGAACTTTAAGTCATGAAGCATTCACTGTTCTTCATCCGTGCTTATCAACAGACGAGAGTCCTTCATAGTTGTTTGTAAAGAAAGAATTCTCACCTAGACTCTCTGGTTCAACCCTAAGCATTTCTTGAAAGAGGCTATGCCAATTTACCATGGAAGGTTTTTTCATGAAGAAATTTTCAGTGATAAATATTTCATCTTTTATCCTACTGCTTATAAAACATTTTTATTGTTCACCTTATGAAACATCTCTAACAGGAGATCCCCAATGCTTACTGAAATATATGAGTACCTATGGGTACCACAAGGTCAGTGGTTCAAAGTCACCAGTTGCTCTTTGGAAACTCTATTCTGGAAAGCAACTCTACAGCACTTAACAACATCATGAGTCCCAAAGGAATCCTGGTATGGTACTATATAGGACAGCACTCAGCCATAAGGTTGGTTTGAACTGCAATATCAAATTGGTTCAAACTCATCAGCTGCTCCTCAGAAAGCCTATACCGGGTCACTATGAAACGGAACCAACTTGATGGCACTTACAGCAAACAACTGGTCCCAAAAGAGCTGATAATGAGCAGTACCAGTCCAGTTAGAGTTAAGTCCTCTGATCCTGCTATATGACCTTGAGACTTATGCTGTTGTTCTTTATCCCCCTCAGTAATACTGCTCTGTGGGCACCAAGTTCAAATGTTTCTACATCTGGGAACACAATAGAAACATAGACTTTTTAATCTGTAATAGCTTCTATGACATGGATAGGCTTGATGCTAGTATTGATTCATTTAATCTCTTACCCTGAAAGTTCTCATCATTTCTGTAAGCGTCTCTTCTAAATGGTAGTTAAGTGTCTTTATGTAGAAATACTGTGTCTTAACGGAAAGAGCAGTTGTCTTGAAGTCAGAAAGTACAGAATTCATTCCTAACTGTGGATTCTTAGCTGTGCAATACTTGGGCAAAACACGTCACATACGTGAGCAGAATGTGTCTCATATAAAATGAAGTGATAGTATCTACTGTATACTGCATATTGGCTGTGAGGATTAACATAACATACCTGCATGTTCTTGGTACATAGTGTACAATAGTTAGTATAATCTGAAATCCTAGGCTTACTTTCTTTCATTTTTCATAGTAAAGAGAAACAAGTAATTTAAAGCGATGTTTCTTTGTTTGAAAGGCATTCACTTCACCCATGAATCCCATGATATTTTTTCTCACTGTTTTATTAAAAACTTTTCAAATAAAATAAGTAATTCAGAATTTCTAGTTCCCGCATCTGCTCTCCTCTCTGATGGTAACTCTTCCCAACTCATTTTAATTCACCTCATTTAAACATCATTGTATCAATGTAGGATCCTCAATTTCTTCACTTATCGTAGATACTACAGTTGATTGGAACTTCAGCTTCTAAATCAAGGAACTTTTTTTAGACATCAGCATGGATATCTGACTTCAGCATCTTCAGTGTTTCACTGCATTCTTATGTCCACATACTGGAGTTGTAGCTGCTCCTCTTCAACTTAGTTGGTTTTTAGCTTTCTTCTCTTTGAATTAAAGCTGTGCTCTAGAATCCACAACCCATATCCCACAATTCCAATGACTGCTAGTAATGAAGAAGACAGACCAAAAATAAAAATTTCCTGAATGTCATGTCATGAATTTGTACCAATCACAAGTAGTCTGTCACATACTTTGTAACCTTTGAGCCCTAAACATAGAGAACCCACAGTGGTTCTGGTAGCCAATTTAAATCCTTGTTTGTTTTCTTCTAAGAGACTCTTAATCCCAGAAGTGATTTAAAGTCCTTGGTAACCATCAAATATATTTTTTTTCTTTATGTTACTCGTTACTTGAGTTCTTATAATAGCACACTCATGCAATATTTGTCCTTTTGTGATTAATTTGTCTCATGCAGCATAATGTCATCCAGGTTTATCAATGTTATGAGATGTTTCACAGATTATTCCTTATTCTTTAATACTGCGTAATATTCCATTGTGTATATATCCATAGTTTGTTTATTTGTTCATCTGTTAATGGGCACTTAGGTTGCTCCCATCTCCTTGCTATAGTGAATAATGCTG